GCAGGAATGATGAGGGCTGAAACAGGAATAAGGATGTCTGTAACTACTGGTTGATGCAGGCTTAAAGCTGAGCTCACTGCCCTCTTACTTCCTGGTAAAAAAGGAGGGGGAGCTCAAGTAAAATGTACTTCAAGCCAACAGTTTGTGCTCCAAAGATGACACTGAGTCTTTCTACCATCATGGGAAAGGTCCAAATGAGTCCTGTGGCCTGCAAGAGCTGTATCATTTTACAAGTGGAACCATGAATTAACAGCCTAAAGACAGAGGAGGCCCAGATCTAGAGGAGGAGGACTGAATAATGTGAACTACTGGAAATACTTCAGCAAACAACAGCTGCTGATAACACAATGTCAGTCAGTCAGTAAGATCAGTGAGACTATAGCTGCACATGGCCATCAGCTACTGTGGGGACCTACTTATATGTCTACAGGTTAAAGGAAAAGGAGCTTTTATAATTAGATTACCAGCCACCTTCAGACTAAAATAAATGTCAGTCAGATAAAATATGCAGCAACTCAGTAAAAGGACCGTTTCCATCCTAAGGTGGCCTCATACAACTAAAGACTAAACCTGCACTTTGCTCTAAAAAGAACCCACCAGGAGTGACACAATTTTGGTGCTTGATATGTTGATATAGGTGTGTTTGTGGAGACCAAACAGAGGAAGAGCCTGCAGGCTGTTGGTGGAGCGAGTGTAGGCAGGTGGATGAGGACAGCAGGCCTCAGGGTGGCGTCTCTGCAGTATTAGATGTGGTCTTTTTCTTTGTTGGCTTCTTCGCTGCCTTTGTTTGAGTCTTGGAGAGGAAGGAGAAAGTAAAGAGTAACTAACACAGTTGATTAAAGAGCTGAAGGAAACAAAGAAGAGAGTGAACAGTTAAAAAGGAAGAGGACAGTATTAATGAGGCTTAGGTGACAAAAAGAGTGATATCTTTCTGGATGGATGGATCCTAATCCCATACTAGCAAGTTTTGACTATGTATGTATGAGCTGCCTCTGAGAAATGACCAAACAACTACTGTACTTTAAAATGGCACCATAAAAACATTTGATTTTCAGTGTACTTATGATGGACCTTATAATCCCAAAATGCAATGCACAAGGGAAACAGAAGAGCTTATCACAGCGGCAAACTATTTGTTTTTAACAGTGCAGGAAAACCTGACAAAACTAAATAATGATTAAATGTTGGGAAAACATTGAAACTGTCACGGTTTGACAAGTATTCAATGTATTGTCTACTTTCTTGTTAAAATAAAAGCATGTAGGTACTGTATGATGGCTGTTTTGTAAATTAATTAACTGCAAAAACAGTATATGATGACAGTTATCATATAGTATATAATGACTTATCAGTAGGACACAACTGGCATTTGTGTATGAGTGCCCACTGGCCGTACCTCCGTCTTAACAGCAGCTGGTTTCTTGGTTGCCTTAACGCTGGTACCACGTTTAGGGGCTCTGTCACCCACGTCGTCATGAGAGTGTTCGGTCCTTGTGTCCGATTGGTCAGAGCTGTGTTGAGATGATGCGTCGTCAGCAAGAGATGTGGCCGCCGAAGAGCGAGCTGCAGGATTGGACAAAAAAAAATGCATTAATTAATAAATACTTGGTGGGGCGGCTCAATGAGGATTCAGACTGAAAGCGGGTGTAAAATCATAGAAAGCTGAGAGACCAGAGACTGAGCCAACAGCGGCCAAACTCAACTCCGCTACAAGACTCTTTCAGTTGGAGCTGCAGTCCAATCCATATTTTAACCAATCAACAGCAGGGGATCCAAACCTCAGTAGTGTTGTAAAAAGACCCAAGATACATGAGATGACTGAAGGGACAGAGATGAATTAAAAACATTTACAAAATGATGCTTGATTTTCAGACTTCTCTAGAATCACATTTTCTTATGAAATACTGAGAATTTTATCCAACAGAGTTAATAAAAATAATGTGATCACTCTGAACTGGGCAAGTCACCCATAGGTTAGTACATAAGACAGTGGGCCACTCTGATCACTTGACCTTTTCCTAACCAATGTATTGTTGCAATGTCTTCAAATAATGATCATGTTTTAGACTTTTGCTTGTATTACTTTGTTTTTACAGTGAAGCCCTTTGTCACTGTGTTTTGAAAGGTCCTATACAAATAAATTACTATTAAGTTGACATTTCTGTGTTTTAACAGTGCTGCCTAAAACGTGCCATTAGTGGAGCAAGACAAAGTTATCCTGGGGACCTCTGGTGGCAGATTCAATCCTCTTTTCACTGCTCTGCTCACTCTCTCCTGCTCTTCCCTGTCATCCTGCTTTATGTGACCACATGACTAGCCCCAGTCTTGGTCTGATAAATGTTCAACAAGTCCTCCGAGAGACACTCCAGCCAACCAACTAGACAAACAGTGTGTACGCAGATTTGAATGACTCCACGTTTCTCCACGTGAAGCTGAGGCAGTGTGGGATGTGCGTTGTGTGACCTTACTCTGCCGTGCAGCAGTGCTCTTGGCCCGGGGCAGCGTGCTGGCTCCTGAGCTCAGCTCATCCATGGGGTCCCGTCTCATGCGGACATCTGAAGTGTGCAGAGCCAGCTCATCCTCTGCATTGATGAGAGTCAGGTCCTGCATGCTGAAACTCCGCAGCTTCTCTGACAGGACGCCCTGGCCCTGGGCAACAGAGAAGCAAACACAGAATGCATGTAGGAACCCATTAATTCACTTCACTACACGTTAGCTATCTGCCAGTTCTCATGTCTGTGAAAAACCAAGTGACTGAGTTTACAGTATAATACAAGGCTGACAAGATGAGGCAGAAATTGTCTTATATTGAGTACCAAATGTTCCACAGGTAAAAGTTCTGTTAATTATTTCCTCTGACAATATCCTGACATCAGTCATTTCCACCACTGGAATGGACATGAAACTGTCCTGGTTGATGTACAGTCACTACAGAAAGTGTTCAGACCCTTTCAAGTTTTCCATATTTTATGTTTCAGACTCATCTTCAAATGGATTCATTTAACTTTTTGCTCATCAATCTACACACAATACTCCACAATGGTAAAGTGAAAACAGGTTTTTGGACAGTTTTGTCAATTCATTAAAACTAAAAGTCTGAAATATCCCTTTACATAGTAAGTATTCAGACCCTTTGCAACTGAGCTGTTGAGATGCTTCTACAGCTTGAATAGAGTCCACCTGTGCCTAGTTTAATGCATTGGATACAAGTATCAGACTGAAAATGAGGCCATGAGGTCAAGAGAAATGCCTTCAGACCTGCGAGACAGGATTGGGTCAAGACTCAGATCTGGAGAAGGATACAAGAACATTTCTGCAGCATTTAAAGTACCGAACACTATGTAGCCTCTGTCATTCTCAAACAGAAAAGATTTGGAACCACCACCAGTTTACATAGATGTGGTCATCCAGCCAAACAGAGTAGTCAGAGATGAAGGGCTTTGGTCAGACAGGTAACCAAGAACCCAAGGGTCTCTATGAATGAGACCCAGACTTCCTTTCTGGACATGGGAGAACCTTACAGAAGGACAACCATCAGCGCAGCACTCCACCAATCAGGCCTCGATGACAGAGCGGCCAGAGAGAAGCCATTCCTCACTAAAAGGCACGTAACAGCTCACTGGGAATTTGCCAAAGGCACCTGAAGGACTCTCAGACCATGAGAAGCAAAATCCTGTGGTCCGATGAAACAAAGGCCGATTTGGTCACAATTCTCAACAGCACGTGTGGAGAAAACAGGCACTGAGCATCACCTCAGTAACACCTTCTCTAAAGTCAAACACGGCAGTGGCCGCATCATGCTGTGGGGATGTTTTTCTACATCTGGGGCTAAGAGACTAGTCAGGATAGAGGGAAGGATGGGTGCAGAAAACTATAGAGCAACTCTGAATGAAAACCTTCTCCAGAGGGCTCAGGATCTCAGGCTGGTGCAAAGGTTTACATTTCAACAAGACAATGACAAAAAGCAGAGCGCCAAGAAAACAAATGAGAAATACTGTAGATTGGTCTCTATGAAGAGAAACACTCAGGGGCTGTAATGGTGATATCACATCTAGATTGGGGAGGCTGATGAATCTTTTAAAAAATATCTTTAACTTCACTCCTTTTATACAAGTTCTTCACTGAATGGTCGAAGCATTTGTGCGATTCACAGAAGATGCACGGTGAGCTGCACAGTGACACGGGTGCCAACCAACTACCACATTGACTCCTGTGTACACAGTATTAAGCAGGTGGTCATAATGTTATGGCTGATCGGTCTAAGTGTCATTTTGTGTTTAGCGGTACTTAGACTTTCCCAGTGATACTGTATATCATCAGTGTATCAACTATATCTCAACTGGATTCACACACACAATCTCTAGATATCTGGATCTAAGACAATAAGTCTGAACAGGGCTGAAGTCTAAATATTACAGCAGTCAAGCTATAAAATGACAATGGCATTAACTTGTCAACACACAGCTCACCTTGGTGGCTGCAGTGACAGCAGCATTAGCAGCCAGGTTGAGACCCCTCTTTCCAAACCTCATCATGGTCTCATAACTCCTGTCTTTGGCCTGGGCTATGTACTCATCTATCTCCTGTAGCACAGGGGGGAAAGGCAACAATATAAGAAATCAGGACAAAGCACAATGGGAAAATCAGAGAACAAGAAAAATCTGAATATTTCAGTGTGGAGGTTCACACCAGGTTAGCTTTGTAAGTGACTTAAAAGGTACCTTCTCTTTGTTGGACAGGGTTGGGTGGACAAACTTGCGGTAGAGGACACTGGAGCCCTTCGTGTATGGGGACAGGAGCCAGATCACAAAGGCGATCTTTAGCTCAAAGTAAAATGGAAACCTGGGTAATCAAACAGATTCACAGCATCAGCAGAGAGGAAGAGAACACAGAAAGCTTTGAGGTGGAGACGCCCGAGCTGACAATGACAGAAGACACTGATTTGACACACAAAAAGGCTAAATAATTGTCTGATCCGCACGTTATGATGTTAGAGTGAGGCTACAAGATTTCAGTGTACTAAAATATCACGAGCAGTAGAGACAAACATGAGCGCATCTTTTGATATTACATAAGCCGTTTATGAGGGTCATGATTGTGAGCAGCCACAGACTCACCACGACAGGAGCAGGTCTGTGACCGTCTCTGCTGTAGTGAACAAAGCAAACACTATCCAGTACATCATCCACTTCACCTGGAGACATGCACACACACACACACACACACACACACACACACACACAGGGAGAGAGAGAGAGAGAACATAACCAAAATAGCACATAAAACCCCTCAGCACCCAGTGCATACGTGCCGAGACACGCGGAGCTAAACAGACGTTATGCACACACACACACACACACACACACACAGAGATGCCACATGTTTAAGTCCTCTCGCATCACATCAGTATGCATGGTTTCTCTCCAGAGACAAAGGAAATGCGGGCCATCATCACTCAGAGGAAAGTAGCTTTAGGACCAATACCAAGTACCACAAAGTTAGTGTAAATACAGAATCAAAAACACTGGTATGTCAAATGTCAGAAAGGCACTGGGTGGCAACGGTATGTTTTAAAGGTGAGCAGCCATATAAACACATGATGCTGAATCACTCCACTCATTAGAAACGAGCCAAGCAAGAGCAATGAAAACATCAGCTCTAAAAATGGCGTCCCCCCCATCACCTTCTGCATGAGCAGCGACAGAGAGAGGTGGTTACTATGGTAACCTGCCAGGAGGAGACTGTTCTCTAGTACAGCTCCATGTGCAAGGCCAGGGTGCTGCTTTCTCCTCCTCCTCCTCCTCCTGGACCGCCTCTCTCTCCTCCTCATCCTCATCCCTTGCAGTGATGAGGGAAGCAGGGAGGACCCCATTTAGTTCACAGACTGTCAGAACAAAGACAGAATGGGAATCGGCTGCTCTGTACACTGGTTTCCACCGGCAACACCGGTCATCCCCTCCTGGACTCAATACCATTTCATTTGTCATTCAGAGATATTCTCTAAGATTTTTTACAACACCCTTCAAATCCTGAATATGTTTCCCAGATTAGAGATGAGGCCTTAAAACTCAAGTATGGACTGTGCTGAGTGTTAAAACCTCAGCACCAATCTGCAGGCGCAATTGGGCATCATGACAACATCATGGAGCGTTCACTTGAACTATGAATCACTTTGGTATCAAGGAATGGGAGAGGTTTGTGCAGTTAACATGTTTTGGGTGTTAGTCGCAGACCAAGCAGCCACTAGTTCATCAGTTCCCAAACCTTTTTGGCTGATTTCCTCTTAAAGCAACAGTAGATCAGGAGTGCCCAATTCTGGTTTTCCAACTATCTCTGCCCTATCAGAAGCTGAAAGATACAACTTCACTGTGTCTTTCCTCAATCCACCTTCACCTAGGATGGTATCTTCTGATTAACTGAACACACCCAATCCAGGTAATCAGCAGTGGGTAATGCAGGGATAGATGGAAAACAAACAAGGCAGCAGATGGCATCACAATGCTATAAGAAAGTAGATGCTCTTCACTCAAGTGTTAAACCAACTCCAAACCACCCTGAATGTTCACTGAACTAGTCCTGCTGTTGGTTTGCATGTCAACCAGCAACAGTGACCACATCAGCTGTGTGTCAGGCTTGGGACTGGTCATCCTGTGCCCTGATTGCACCATATAGGCCTACAGCAGATCACTCAAGGTGAAACACCATCTGTTTACATCACAGTATCGCTCACTATATGTTAAATGTAAAGTCTGTTTCTGCTGATTGTTGTTGAGTTATTTATTTTAAAGAGCTGATGGCCTTAACCTTAAGCAATTAGGTCCAATATATTCATGGACTGGCCTCAGTCAAAACATAATAATTGTGGAAATCAAGTCTGATTCAGTAGTTATCTACTTGCAGTAAATGCTGATTAAATGTGTATCTGACACACTGAAATAACAGCTGGAGGTGATCTTGGCCCTACTAGATTTGATGAGAAATCTTATAATTGGTTTAGAAATTATCTGTCTGATAGATCACGAGCTGTTGTAGTAGATTAGGTCTAATTTTATGGCTATTTTTAAAGGAGTCCCACAATGATCAAATTTGGGCCTCAGTTTATTGACTATATTTATTAATGATCTAGGATACAAAGTAATTAGCAGTACTATGTATTTATACGCAGATGACACGGTAATTTATACAGTGGCCCCGCGCCACTGATCAGGCTTTTCAGTGTCTGCAATCTGATTCAACATCATCTTCTTGATCTTAAACTAACTATTCCTGTAAAACAAAGCATATGATTTTTAATAGAAATCAATGTCAAATCGATATTTTTAATTTAAATATAGCTACACTGAATGATATCATTTATATGCATGCCTCTGCCAAAACCTTGAAACCACTTGACTCAGTGTAACATGCTGCTAATAGATTTGTTACTGGAGATCCCTTCAGGACTCACCATTGTGAATTATATCAGAAAGTAGGTTGCCCATCTTTGACACTGAGAAGACGACATCATTATACATTATTTATCCATAAAACCCAACTGAGTTATAAATCATCAACGTACCATTCTGCAACCCTTTTTTGCTAATACAGAAGTAGGAAAGATTACTAAGCCCGCAAAGATAGAGCAGTTTGCAGGAAAAAAAAATGGCTGTGCTCATTCCTTTATCTCAATTTAAACTGCTTTTATATAGTATTTTACAGTTTAAATGTGAGTGTAACAGATGATTTGGATTTTATGTGACTCACGTGGTTATGTTTTACCGTTTCAAAGGTGTTAATTGTATGTCAGGGCACCACTGAGAATGAGAGCTTGGTCTCAACTGGTCTTTCCCTGAATAAATAAAGATGATGATGACACTGCATTTTTTTCCAGAAGGTACTTGATCCAAATCTGATCCATATTCTAACAGTGAGTGACTGTATTACCATAAAACATCTCACAGCATCGTGGAGCAAAATATCCCAAAGGTCATACAGAGCACAGATGGGACAAGAACGGTTGTGATTTAGTAACCAGAGGTGATACTCACATATTCCTTCACATTCTTTGTTTTGACAGCCTTGTATGAGGAATATGCTGGATAGAGAGTCCCAAAGGCAAGGCTGCAAAAAAACAGAAGAGCAGAGAAGCCTGGGTCAGAGGAGGGGGATTCAGCTTGAGAACAAGGTCTCTGGTTGTGACCAACATGTTGTTTGTTAAAAAGCAGGTTAGCCAGGTGAGCCACGAAGCTTATGCAAACACAAGTAGCATTCTGTATCAGTGGGCTTCTTCAAATTAAACAAATTACAAAACTGTTCTGATCTACGTAGTGATGACACAATGATTTGTCAAAACACACCAGCCTGATATTAATAGACTTAAAAAGACTGCATTGGAAAAAAACAACACAAGTCTGCCAGGGGTGGGTCAGGATCATGTGTTAGCCCTTGTGCAGAGTGGGACTCCGGGCACGCAGAGCTGGGGGTTTGATGTGCGTTTGGTCACATCCTGTGCCATTGAGGTGATTTTTTTGGTTGACGTGACAGGATGCTGAACACTAAGGGAGGGAACTGCAAGGAGAACAGTTCAGGAAGGCACCAGTTTGTCTAGATGCCTACAGTGTAAACCAGTGTTTGTGACTCCTAACACTTTTTTAAAGGAAGAATTTAAACTATAAGGTTTGTTCCCAGCTGCTGGTTGCCTGAGAGTATCTACTGGTTTTCTCAGCATTCCAGTACAGTAGGTCTTCTGTCCCAGTACGTATGTGTGATCTGCTCAGATCAGCGTGCAGTGCCTCTCAGCTCTGTACAGTAAGCTGAGGAGACTCATAGCAGGCATCTAGGCCAGTAAACTCCCTCAGCAGACGCCCTGTGCCTTTGTGTCCCCATCTCAGGTTCACTTCTGTAATGGCTGAGCTACGCTGCTTACTGAAACAGGACAGATGTTTTTCTGTTAATAAATAGTCTGATTAAAAAAATAAACACCAAAGGAAAAATGCATGTTTAAAGCACAGAATATAGATGAGGAATTACTGATCTCATCTTAGATGGGCTGCAGCCATTGTGATGCATACCCAGCCACACTGTCTGAGACTAACACACGACTACCTGAGATGCAGCAAAGATAATCCAGGCAACCAGAATATTTGTAGGGTTGAAACAACAGTGACGTTTCTACACCTGGGCCTTTCCAAAACCACCATAGTCATGTTTCAGGATTTCACTACCAAGCTCTGGTTAAATCCACATGAAACTGGCACAGACCAGCAGTCAGGCAACACAGTGCTCTGATAAGAGCTCAGAGCAGTCACCTAACATAAATCAACATTAATGCAGCACTGTAAACGTGTGCATAATGGACTGGGATGGTGACAGCTGCTTGCTTTAGTTGAGTCATCCACCCTGCTAGTATGTAGTGTGAACAGGGGAAGGAAGCAAAGGCCTGAGCTGCAGGAACTGCTTATATAATGGCCACATGTTATAGATCTGTAAAGTCATTCTAGCACGGTTAAAACATACATCGACATTTTTCTGGCCAGCTCAAGTCATGTAGGAGTGGACGGACCGACGCACATCCCTGACTGGGCTGCTGCCATCACAGTTTCCCAGCTCATGTTACCGTAAGGCGCAAAGATGCTCAGTGTCCACGGCAGCAGTGTCAGCCTGGCATGTGTTTTCCAAAGCCATGGCAGGCAGTTTAGAGTCTGTTTACTTGTCTGCAGCGAGGCTGGCATATTAAGCAGGTTTCGCTTGAATAACGTGGCCAGCCATCAGCTCCTTTCTCTCCCAAGCCATTATGTGTCAGGTGGTTACAGTTAGCCCAGATGATGTTAGCTACCACCGGTTAGCAAGCGCTCCGTGATCTGCATCATTGTAATAACTAGATTCAACGATTAGTACAGATCATTGCTTAACGCCGTGTCTAAATGACGGTTTGCCCACAGTATGTTTCGACATTGCTGAAATGTACCTATTCAGAGAAATAAAACGGATGACTCGAGCCTAGCTAGTTGTCGCGACGTCCAGCATCTGACAGCGGATGAATGGAGGAGCCGCTGATCTAACGCTTCAACAGATGCAGCTCAGCTCATACTCACACAACTATCCTCGAAATAATCCACGATACCATGTTACTGGGCCGCCGGCGGGAGCCTTCCGCTTGTAGGAAATGCAGTCGGTTAGCTAGCGGGCTAGGTGCCCCCCATTCCCCTGAAGGACGAGGCTTGTTGTGATGTGAACCGGGAGGCTGGTCGCCGCTCTGCCGTGCTGTCAGCTCCTAGGATGCGCTGCGGTCTGTGGCTGCTCCACCGCTACTGCTTGGAAACACTGGCTCTTTTAAAGGGCCAGCACGCCGCAAAACGTGTCAGATAAAAACAAGCTGATCCCTTCCAGTGCACTGACACAGGCAGTATAACCCAATGAAGTCAATTATTTAGTAGAGATAAGCAGAAAGAAGCCAGCGAGCCTATGGATAGTTTCGACGAGACATGCATGTGCTGTAAAATAATAGTTCAGATTCAAGCCTCCATGTCCCATTTCTGTGATCTACTTTTTAATTTAGAAGCAGTGGAGAGTTATTTATTTCACAGATGTTGCTCTTAACGTTAGTGACAAGTTAAACATTCAGCCATACCGCAGTCCGGTGTCAAACTCCTGTGGTGAGTTTACATTTCTATTATGATGCAAATCAGAGTGAAACTACTTTCTCACCAGAATGCTAAGAGCAAAGGCAACGGTTTAAGACTTGCACAACTTAATTTAAGATGAAAACACATTTACTGTATCAAAACATCCTATTTAAAAACCAGTGTTGTACATGTAATTAAACTAGTTTAACTACATTTTGGTTGCAGTTCAACTACATACAAGCTCACATTTCTTAGACCAAGGTGCACTTATATAATTTATTAACAAGAAATATATAATATCATCAAGAAAAACCCAGATTGTTTTGAGTAGGACTGTTTTTTGTCTCAAGTAAATAAACTCAGAGTGGCATTTTTTGCTGTTTTCTTTGTTTGTATCACATGCACACGTCAGTGTTGTCATTTTCTATAAAGTAGCCTGAACTTTTTCTAAGTAACTTTAGTTTACCAAGCCACATTTCTTTATAGCTTTGCTGTAGTTTAACTTCTTCCAGTGTGAAGTAATTGATAGTTTGCAGTTACATCTTCAGAGTAGTTTCCCCAACACTGATAAGACCTCAGATTTAGAGAAAAGAAATTAATTCTAGTGCTACGACCATTACTTGATTATTCAATTACCAGAAAACTGACAACTTTTGTTTATCACAAATAATTACAAATATTTGCTCTCAAATGTTAGGATTTGATGCAGCCCTGATTCAGATGATTTATAGATGTCTTGGTTGCATAAGCATCTGGAGACTGTGTGTAAAAATAAGCATTATGCAAAGTTGTTTTTGTAAACTTTATTGTGAAAAATCAAACAGACTGCTAAGATCAATATATGTATTGATACAATGTTAATAGCCAGTAGTTCTGTTCAGCTGCAACTGTGATTTTTGATCAATGTTGTTGAAGTCTTCAGATCATTCAGCCCATGGGACAAAGACGGGTGACCAAACCACGACTGGGGGGGGGGGGACAACTGCCCTGTTTGAAATCCTCCTTACCACTATCATGTGGTGTAGAAAAGAAATGACTTCTTAATCCAAGGGTGAAATGAAATTTTAATAAAAACTAAAAATACAAAACTTTGGTCTGCTTCCCTTCACTGGCTGCTTCGCAAATTCGTTCTAGCCACAGAGGGCAGAGCCTCTCACCTGTTTAAAAACTCCAATAAACAAACAAACAAAAAAAATCTACAAAAACAGGTTAACTACTCTCCTATTGAAGGAAAATAATATTGACGCGATCAAAACAGGAACGTTAGCCCAGCACTCACATTTTGTCAGTCGCTTGTATGGTAGCTGAACCTCTACTCCAAAGGCACGTCATGGGCCTTACTCTTACATCTTACATATACAATGAAAACAACAGAACAAACACTGACCTTAAATACAGAGTTAAAAAATTTGGAAAACAACTAGATAGGTTTGAGCATACTGTGTAACAGCGATAAAGGACTTTCTTCATCGAAGCACTGACTAGCCCATTCCCATCTAATCCCTCCTCAAAAAACAAAACAAAACAAAAAAAAAACACTTTTACTGCCTCACCCCTCTGTATAATCTGCAGCATGTACACGTGTATGTAGGTGTGTGATGTGTGCTGTGCGTGTGGTGGGAGTGATCTTCAGAGGTCGGTTGTTTTGGGACGGCGTTGAGTGAGGAACTAAGGGCGTGTTAGTTTAGGTTCATGGGCCTTCAGTGTCCCAACAGCGTCCTTCACTGCGTGATAGATGATGTTCTTCACCTGAGGGAAAGTGACAGGAGACTAAAGCTATTGAAACAATCTACTGCCTCAGTCAGGACAATGTGTACCGATGCTGAACAATAACAGACTGGGGTCTGAAAAATGTTCACTGCTAGTGCAAACAAAACACCCAAGATTCATGACAATAACAAAACAATTACTTTAAGGGATATTAACATGCTTGTAAGCAAAATTGTTTCTTTTTCCTCAATACAACAAAAAAAGAAAAACCTACTGTCTAAGCAAAACCATGTGTACAAGAACTTTTTCTGTAAAATAAAGTTGAATATTGGTAAAATAATAATAGAGGATAAGGCAGGTCATTTTCTATAGTAATAGTATTTTCGGCAATCTCCATACAGAGACTAAAATTGAGTGAATTGCTTCTACTCACGGTTAATATCTGTTAGTCCTGGTAGTACTGATATTTTATTTTGCTGTGTTCATTTTATAAATATTAATTTTATGAATTTGAATTCTGTCAGGTCGTGTTTTTTTATTTAATCACTCCAAGCAACTAATATGCCTGGTCTAAATCACTCTTCTTGTCCACCAGAGCAGCAGTTTATAAAGGAGTGACCACTCAGTTACATAAACTGCGGCCTACTGCTTAGAAATAACATTGAGCAGAGAGCTCTCTCTAGTTGAATTTATGAGAATGTGGCACTGAACCAAAGATGAGAGAACGGCACACCAACCTGTAGCTTGTCTTCATGGTTTGTATGAGTAGTGGACAGGTGTCTGAACTCCTGGGTCAACCTGAAACAGTGCCTCACATGCTCAGGAGAGACAAAGTCCTCGGCCACTTTGATGCAGCTGTACAGGTTGTGCACCTGGGAGGGGAACAGCAGAGAAGGAACAAATACGTTCGTAAAAGGAGATACAATATATATGAATCTTGAATCACTGAACATTCAGTTGTCAGTATCACAGTGCTCTCCCAGTCTGACCTGGTGTGGGGCCCCAGCAGGGATAAATACAGCATCTCCTAAGAACTGTACAATGGCCCAACCCTGGACGCCATATTCTTCATAGAGCCTGCGGCGGAGAACCTGGTCCAAGTACCAGCTCTGGTCATGAATGGGGTCGTGGTCTGGAGGGTTTTCTTGACCCTGCTCTTCACCCACCTGACACAGATATGAATAAACAATGGCATAATGTCTTCCTCCTGACATTGGGTCATAGGTGCTGCACCTTGTATTCAATACATTTTTACAGAGAATCTGACTATGCTCTGAGGTTAAACCAAGTCACAAGCACAGCCAATAACAGTGCAGATGGAGAAATTCAACGCTGCATTTGAGACAGACGTCGACTGGCTGCTGACCTTGCGGAGCAGTTCTCTGATCTTCTCGGCATCCTTGGCAGCATAAATGTGCCAGAGAGCCCCAGGTTTCTCTTCACCTTCATACACCCTGCGCTTTGTCATTTCATCCACATCGCCCTCCTCGATGGTGGTCATGACCTCTGGAGGACCAAACACAAACAATACCACACACATATACATGGCACCAAAGAGTCATTAGCAGTGTCTCTATTACAATGACATGATCTTACAGTGTTTAAGTGGCCCTGTATAACTGGCTATAAGCTGTGATTGATGCCATTTCAATGTTACTTAAACACCTTGTGTCCATTTTTATGACTGACTAAATGTGTCATGCCTTGATTCTGGGACAGTGACTGGGACTGTCAAGATACATCTGCATTTCCAACTTCTCATTCTTACAACTGAAAAACGTACATTCATTGTAGTGTTTGACAAAAATGGCACAGAGCTGTAGTTCTCAACTGGTGGCTCATTACCCTGAAATGGGTCGCAGGTCCATTCTAAGCGGACTGCAGGATCATGTGCTCTTCATTCTGAAGAGCACTTTTTCCCCAGAGTTGCTCTTAAAATACTTCCCAGCTGCATAATGTGACTGTCATGACAAAAACATCCCAAGTTGCAGTTTTGTGTGAAGTTTTCCCTCCCAAGGAAAAAATGAAAATTGATCTAGACTTTTTAGTACAGCCTTCAGTAAAACAAGAAAATGCCATGGCAGCACTAGTGTTTCTAGGGCATTAAAGCGCTGTAGATTACTTAAGCATTAATTTTGAGAAATCGATAAAATGGTTCAAATTTTCAGTGATGTTTGGGTTGTGACTATGGTTAAATGTGGATCCTGTAGCTGGACCAGTTGAGAATCACTGGGGCACAGAAAAAGACAAATTACAGGCTTTGCAATCACATTTACTGACACAACGAAACATTCACAGTTGATTGTACAGAGCAGCTATTGTAACACTACTCCCCAAAACTTCACTGACCACCCACTTTAGTACTGATTTATGAGTGATTCACACAGATGATAAGTGGAAGCAAACACATTCATGACTACAAAACTGGTACCAGAGGGTAAACATGCCTGTGTGTGTGTGTGTGTGTATATACTAGTGCAATCATTAGGATCTGGTCTATCACAAATGATCCCATTATAGCCATTTGTTCAGCCGCCTGCCTAAAATCCATGTGTTTCTTCTGATGTGTGTAAGGCTCGGTGTGTGAGGACAGCATGCCTACGGTCATACTATTGGGTGTGCGTCAGTGGCATTGTGATGAATGAGAAGAACTGTAGATGCCCTTACTTCGAACTTTTCTCCCACAGTGTAAGGGACCAGAGCACAGCTCAGCCAAAGCTATCCAGAACTAAAGATAGTGAGTTCTATCTAAACTCCATGTCAGTTCATTGAAATGACGATGCTACACTGACTGAAACCCAAACAGTACACATTTTGAACTTAATCCTGAAGTCGACTCAGAAACAGACAGGGTGGAG